AGCTGGGAATACATAAAGCGCTTATTTGACTGGCTTAAGTCATCGGCTGACTTCTTCGTAGAGGAACAAAGGAGTTTTAGGTTGACTTAGTTCGATTTTGACCCTAGGCTCCTTTGTTCATTTCCGAAGAAGCAAGCCGATGACTTAAGCCAGCCAAATAAGCGCTTTATGTATTCCCAGCTTTAGGCTATAGCATCCATTTCGAACTTGAAATACCAAATTTTAAACAATTCCGGTGAATAATGTCGCTAAAATCGTCAAAATGACGAATATCGGGAGGAACCGTTATATGGGGGGCTATACGAAGACGTGGACCTGCATGGCCCATTTACAAACTTAACCTGCCTACTGCCTCAATTCGTTCGAAAGATAGTGTGATTACAACAGACGGACAGACAAACGGACAGACAGACGGACGGACATGGCTAAATCGACTTAGAATTTTACGCTGTTCAAGAATATATATACCTTGTTGGGTCTGACATGAGTATTTCGAGGCGTTACAAACGGAATAACAAAGTTAATATACCCTCTATAGTATGGTGGATGGTATAAAAAGGCCAAGGTGGGGACGAATCTTAAATTTTACGGCGCACTTTCGCTGTCTATAAATTAGAGTTATTTTAATTTAATATTTTTAAAATTCACAAACCTGAATTCAATTGGGCAATGTCATTAAAATGTCTACATCATTGTCATCGTAGATTTTAGATCCTTCAAAGGTTAATATTTAAAATCTCCACTTGATCTTTTTTTCGCTGTCGATTTTCAGTACTTTCTTTGTAGTGATTTTTGCATTCCGATTATATTATTGCTCAATATTTCAATTTATATTTTTGGACACATTTTTTAAATTTTATTTATTTATTTATTTTTTTTTTTTTTGATTTGTCCAGCATACAAAGGCCTTGCTCCTGGTTTCACATGGTAATTTTATCCAATATAGGTCACATTTTGTAAGTAATTTTTCTATTAATTTTTATACTGCTGCGATTTTCTCAAAATTGTTTCGATTTTTTTCCATTTCGCAATACTTAAATATTTCCATTTTCACCAGTTTTCTAAAAATATTTTAGGAATTCATATGTCAAAAATTTATTTCTGATAATAACATTTATTTATTTATTAATTTATTATTTTTTTTTTTTGACCTGCTCAGAATCACATTTGTTCCCAATGTTAACTATTTATTCAGCATTCAAACGTTGTGCTTGCTTTTTTCATAATTCCCGAGATTTATTGAATTTTTTTTTCTGTAATTGTTAAAATTTCCATTCCATTCCATTTCTAAAATTTCTCCTGGAATACATTTGTCACTTTTTGTATTTTCTTGTTGTATTTATTTTTCATAACAATTTTTATTTTTTTTTTTATTTGACTTCCACATAATCACATTTTAGTCGCTATTTAAATTTGTTGTTCATCATTTTGGCCTTTTTGATGCTTCTGTTGTAGATTTATTTAATGGACTGTGTGTTTACGTTTCTGTTTTTTTTTTGTTTTTCTCTTTTTGAACTACTACAACATTTTTCAGCTTGAACTAAATCAATGAAACAAAACAAAAAAAATCGAATAAAATAAACATTTTTAATTTAATTTTACACTGAGTGAAACACATTTTATGGTTATTTTGATAAAAATGACATGTAAATGGTTTGACATCTCGCTGCCAGGTATTGGTGGACCCAATCGACAGTTCTTATGCCCACTCGGCCTCTACCACAATCACCTCCGTTGATGTTGTCGTCGCGAATATTTTTCGCTTGTCATCCGAAAACTTTGCTCTCCTCCCAAAACAAGGCAGAAATCATTCACTGTTCGAATATTTGTTTGAATTGCTTCATTTTGGATTTGAATTCGATTGAAGGGTGATAATGGAGAGCAAATGAAGGTGGTGGATGGGTGAATGGATGGCTATTGGGGGTAGCGGGTATAAATGGATGGTAAATGTGATTTATCTGAAATGGTTGGAGGAATAAGTATTCATGGGGAGGTGTGCATGTATTTGTTTTTTCCTATTTTAATAAACTGCACATGAAATTTATGAGCCCCGACAGCAGCAGTAGCGTCACCATCATCATCTCCACAAACCGCCATCATCATATCTCAGGCGATTATTGATTGGAATTGAAATGTGTTTTTCTTTGTGTGCTTTGTGCAACGAATCTTTTTGTTTTATTTTATTTTGTTTTTGCAATTTCCTTTGCTCGTTTCATTCTTTCCTTTCCTTTGGTTGGGTTGCTTTTTTGGTTTTTCTTTATTTGCAAAACAAAAAAAAAACTCAGATACACATAATCAGAGACCCTTGGAATTACATGGAATGGTAGATAAAATTGTATTCCATTTGAAGGTGGTAACAAAGGACAAGAACAAAGTGTCATGTCCCTTCTTTTGGGCGACACATGCAATGCTTTTTGGGGTACATACATAAAAAATGGAGAAATGCTCCCTTGGAGAAAATGTAACAGAATTTTATTTATCTTGAGAATCGCAAATAAAAAATTGAAATAAGTTTTACTTGGTTAGAAAGGAAAGTCATTCATTATTATGAAAATACGCCACAGGATCTATAAAAGGCATACCGAGGCAGAAATATACATACGGCAGTTTAAAATAAAAGTTGGCAACAATTAAAAAAAGCGTTGGCAACACTCCCTTGTTATTTACAAAATAAGATAAGAATTTGTTTGTATTTTGAAGTCTAATTTCGTCTCTTTCGGAAAAATAAAAAATATCGTGAAAACAAGTAAAAAACATAAAGTTCGGCCGAGCCAAATATTTAATACCCTCAACCTTAGGGTAAAGGAAACATTAGAAGAAATGTGGTAAAAACCACTAAAATGGCAAATATCGGGAGGTACCGTTATATGGGGGCTATACCAAATCGTGGACCTACATGCAAAGTTTCGCCAAAGGAGCTAGAACCGTTTATGACCTACAAATACCAAAATCCGTGAAAAAATGTCGCAAAAATCATCAAATTAACGAATATCGGTAGGTACCGACTCGCCACACGAACTGGAACCCATTATGATCTACAACTACCAATTTTCAGAGAAATTCTTGAAAAAATGTGGCAAAAATCATCAAAATACCGAATATCGGGAGGAACCGTTATATGGGGACTATACCAGAAGGTGAACCGATATATCTCATTTTCAATACCAACCAACCTATACACAATACAAATTGCTGTGCTAAATTCTGTATCGTGATTTCAACAGACAGACGGACAGCGGCGAGTGCTAAGGCAGCAAACAAACATATTTGCATTGCCTGACTCTTGTTTGTGTTGTTCCAAAAGTCAATACTGCTCTTTCAAGAGTTCAATTGTTTCTTCTTTCCTTGACGACTTTTTATCATAATTTTTTCTTGGCGATCGAGAAGCTTGGGTAGTAGTTACATTAGTCTTGTCATCAGCATTGTCCAGTGGCACATTTTCATGATTTATAACGTCTGTTACAATTATGTTTTCCGTATTTTTTACTCCAAGTGCACGACCTGGTGGAGTCAGTATTTTTTGAAACTGCATTAAAAATACCACCTCCAGTGCTGCTGGCTTCACTCTTATTGTGCACAATTGTTTTTTAGTTTTAAATTTTAAATCTTTCCAAACCTAAAAAACTTTAGAAAACTAACTAATAAAAAATACAAAAATAATTTTGACCCGTTTACATTTAATTTTGTAGCAATGGATTCCAATCTGATTTAAAATTAGCTGGAAAATTACCTATTTTAAACCCGTTTGCCAAACATGGGTTTTTTTTCAAAATCTGAACCTATCTTGAACCTATAAATACGTCTTTTGAACTTTGGAAACTCTGAAAAAGGTCTTCAATTCATAGATCCTTGAACTAGGTAATGTACCCAATATAGCACCTGAGAAAGGTCTTACATTCGTAAAATAAACCTGAGGGGGTCTTAAAAGAATTTGAAAATACCTTCTGTGGGTAGAAGACCCTACCACTCTCCTTTGAACAGGCCTTTATGGACAGGCTGAAAAAGTTAGCTATGAAAGCATGTGAAAGACCTTCTAGCTATAGAAAATTTGGAAATAGGCCTCAAACTATATAAGTCAATCTATAGAAGACCTAAAAAAGTCTTCTAATCCTAACAGACATGAATGATACCTTTAATGCCAACAAGACCTGGCAACATCATATCTCAATTTAAAAAGTCTTCTAGCCACAGAAAACGTAAAAGAGACCTCTTTTTCAAAAAAAAAAAAAAAAAAAAAAAAAAAAACAGTAAAGAAAGTCCTAGAGTCGGGCGGGGCCGACTTTATGATACCCTACACCACTTTGCTAATTTAGTAGAGCTCCACATAACAATTAAAAGTTTTTATGGGAGAATTCAATCATACACGCTATGATTATAATTATAATTTAAAGATCAAAACGACTAAATATGCCGAAGCGTTGGTATCTTTTAAATTCGGACTTGTATTGCCCATTTTGGGGCACAATTAATTTGAAATCGGATAAAAATATATATGGGAGCTATATCCAAATCGGAACCGATCTCGATAAAATTTGGCAAAGATATTTCTGAGCTGTATTTGATATATTTCCCCAAATATTGTTGTTAAAGATTGCATATTACGGCTGCGGAGGACAAAAGCAACAAATCGGATGAACAGTATATATGGGAGCTATATCTATATCTGAACCGATCTTCACCAAATTTGACATACTAGCTTCTAGACTCAATTCGGTCGTAAGTGCCAAATTTCATCCAATTTGGGCAAATATTAGACGTTTGGTGCACAATAAAAGGTAAATCGGAATAAGTTATATATGGGAGCTATATCCAAATCTGAAGCGATCTCGATAAAATTTAGCAAAGGTATTTCTGAGCTGCATTTGATATATTTCCCCAAATATTGTTGTTACATAGTGCATATTACGGCTGCGGAGGAAAAAAATATAAAATCGGATGAACACAATATATGGGAGCTATAGCTGTTTATTAATATTAATTAAAGCAGATATACACAACACTTGAATTGTGTAACCTTGGTATGTTTACAATTTCTTGTAATCTACCAAGAATATTTATTTTTGCTTTCTATTTATACATTTTTGAATTCATTAAAACTAGCATTTAAAGTTAACTAAGCAATAAATTACTTCAGCCAATAACCCATGCAATGTGAAACCAATCGAGGTGTTTCTTTATTTAGGCTATTGGCCTGCATAAGGCAAACAATAATTATATAGGTCAGTTATATGCTGACATAGAATAAAATAATAATAAAAACAAAATTAAAAAATGTGTTAGTAAAATATGTTCTTTTGAACATTCTCCCCCACGTTGAACGAGGAACGTTCAAGAAACTGTCTGGTCAATGACGTATGATGATGAGACTGACTGCCGAGGGGTAGGTGTTGGGTTCATGTTATTGTTGGAAGTTCTGTGGTGGCGAAACTTGACAATGACGTATATGGCTACTCCAATTCCAATGCAAAGAGCTAGATAGCTGATGGTATGGTGGTGAATGGCCGTCGATTTCATTAATTGTGGAAGGCGTCCGATTTCAATAGTTTTTAGCTGTTGGTGTAAGGTGACGAGTTCAGCAGCATGTGTTTCATAGGTGCTGTTTAATGTTTTGTTGAGCAAGACAAGCTTACTGCTTGAGATTATGGAATCCAGTGGCTTAAGTCTCAGATATGATGTGTGCACTGTTGTTTTGTTTTCGTAGTGACCGTATATTGTAAATGTGTTGTCTTTGAAAATGCAGCCTGGCCCAATTTCTAAAGTTCCAGCTCCTTGCACCTCCAGGTGTGTCATTTTTGTACCACAAACAAAGGACAATTCTGTTAAATTGGCTAGAGTAAACATCCATTTATTCTTTTGTTCCATTTGTCTCCAAGTTTGGTGGTGCATGGTCGATTGCAAGTCGCACGCTTCTGACGATTTGTTCAATAAGAAAATCACCTCGCATAAATGTGATCGATCGCCTTTGCTAAATTTCGCTTGGTTGTCGCAAATAAAAACGTCATTTGTGGTATGTATGCAGCTGTTCATTTCTTCTGCGGTTAGCGATATGAACTCATCCCGATGGACGTTAGCTGCCAATAATGTTGATTTCAAAGCTATTGAAATAAATCGACCGGATCGTAGCATAGGTACGGGGATCATTTTGAATAAATCATACTGCTGGAGATCCACTAATGGAAGGCGAATCTCGAATATGATATGGTTCTTAATAACCCTTCCCTTACTCTTCATTAATTTGAAGAAATCCGAAACATTATCTTCGCGAACGGGTAGAGCACGAGATGGAGGAATGTGAGCCTTGATGGTTTGGAGCTCTTGTAGCAATTGATGTGGCGTAAGTAGCAACGGACTTATCCGACCATGATGAGCATCCGTTAAAACGTCGATTAAGTTATCTTCTATATGTTTCAACCTTGATGAAAGTAGCATGAGCTGTGAAGTGAGAAACATAATTGATTGTGTTGTCTTTACAACATCTTCTTCTTTCTTCACCTTATTTGCCAAAAGGTTCAATTCCACTTGCATGTTGCCGAAGTTCCTTTGGCTCGTATCTTCGTCCTTTCTAATTATGTTGATTGTTGAATCAATAATAGATGTCTGATTTTTTAGAAGATCCAACAAATGTTGCTTGTCTTCATTTGCCTTCTCAATTGTCACAGTCATTTGCTCCGCATATTCCGAATCCAAGACACCAAATAACGAGTGTGCGAGGTTCCCGACTATGTTTAGAGCTCCTCTCCTGTGATCAGTTTCCACTCTGCTGTTACTACTTTTGTGATTCCAATTCCTTCAAAATAGATGCCGGGCTTATTCTCAAACTTGTGTATGTTGAACGAATGACACAAGCATAGAGGTAAAAATAGTAAAGCCACAAGCATCATCGATACTAGCATGCTGCTTGACGTCTTCAATCGCTTTGGAGATGGCTCTTCACTCCTACTCTTGGTCTCTATAGGCGGAAGAGGTTCCTTTTCCTTTTTCCATAAAGGAGCTAATCTGGTTATAGCTCTTTTAATTTCGCCGTTTTGTGTCTTTACGTCGACTACACGAACGGCTCCATCGTTGCCCTTATATGTTCGGGTTATTCTGCCTAGCGGCCACTGCATTACAGGCATGTTATCTTCCTTAATAATGACCAATTGACCAGGTTCCACGTTTGGAGATGGTGTACTCCATTTCCTTCTTTCTTGCAGAGTATTTAAGTACTCCGTGGACCAACGTTTCCAGAACTCATGCCTAATTTGAGATACGACCTTCCATCTGCTTGTCAATGATGTTGACCATTGGTTCGCTGATGGGTCAACCTGTGCCGTTAACGGTTCTCCCACAAGAAAATGACCAGGTGTTAATGCAGCTAGATCATTTGGATCGTCAGAAATAGGAGTCAACGGTCTGGAATTCAGGATTGCTTCTATTTCAATAACAACTGTTTCCAACTCTTCGTGGGTTAATGATGCACTATTAGTGGTGCGAAGCAACAGTTGCTTGGCTGACTTCACCGCGGCTTCCCATAAGCCACCAAAATGTGGTGCTCTTGGGGGAATAAACTGGAAATCGATCCCTTCTCTTGAACACGTCTCCGCTATTATTTTTTTGCCTTTCTCCCCAAAGACAGCCTTATTGAATTCATCGAGCTGATTTTTAGCACCTACAAAGTTAGTCGCGTTGTCTGAATATAGGGTTTGACATTTTCCTCGCCGAGAGATAAATCTCTTCAATGCTCCAATGAATGCTTCCGTTGTTAGGTCTGTAACTACTTCCAAATGTACAGCCTTTGTTGCGAAGCAGACAAAGACAGCGATGTAAACCTTGTGTGGTCTCTTGCCTCGTATTTTGTAGTGGACCCATAACGGTCCGCAATAGTCAACGCCGGAGACAATAAACGGCCTTGCTGGTGTGACTCTGCTCGGTGGGAGATTTCCCATGATTTGGTTGTATAACTTTGGCTTCGCCCGGGTGCACCTTACGCAATTTTGCACAATGTTGCGAGCCATAGCCTTCCCCTTGATTATCCAATATTTTTGTCTTGATGTTGCCAGTAATAGTTGTGAGCCACAGTGGCTATTCTCTAAATGGATCATGCTAAGAATGAGTTTCACAATTGGATCGTTGTATGGTAACAACATCGGGTGTTTTGTGTCGTATGCTAAGGTTGCCTCTTCCAACCTGCCACCGACTCTAAGTATTCCTCTGTCATCAAGAAACGGAGTTAAACTATGTATGGAGCTTGATTTGTCCAATGCTCCATGTTTCCTCAATTGCCGAATTTCTTTCGCAAAATCTGCCACCTGTACGGTCTTGACTATTAGTTGCATCGCCTGATTCAACTCCATAGGTGTCAATACATCTGTCGAACTTCCATGCTTGCGTCCCTTTATCCTTTCTGAAAATCGCAGGACATAACCGACAATACGTTGTAATCGTCTAAATGAACCCTTGTGGTTGATTCCATAGATCATATCCTGTAACCCACTCTGTGAGGCAATTGCTGATACTGTAGATTTTGTCTTGAATTCAAGATCGGATTGATTTTCTCTATTCTTTGAGAAGGGCCCCGGCCAGAGAGATTCATTTCCATGTAGATACGTGGGTCCATAAAACCACATCAGACATCCCGACAGACGATCTGGTTTCATACCTCTGGATATATAATCGGCAGGATTATCCTTCGTCCCCACATGTCGCCATTGAGTGTTTATCGATCTGCCTTGTATATTTTTTACTTTGTTGGCAACGAACGTCTTTAGAGCTGATGGTTCTGAATTGATCCAGTACAATGTAATCTCTGAGTCTGACCAATAAATAGTCCTTAGATCTTCGTAACCCAATTCGGCTTTGACCTTAGCAGTAAGTTTTGTTCCCAATTCAGCGGCACAAAGCTCTAACCGTGGCAGCGTGATCTCCTTTATTGGTGCTATTTTTGATTTTGAACAAAGAAGTCTGACTATATGCCTGCCGTCTGGCAGCATAGCTCGAAGATACACCACAGCACCATATGCCTTTTCTGACGCGTCCACGAAAGTATGTATCTCAATTTTTGTTGGTTTCTCTCCATCAAACATGTGTCTGGGTAACCTGAAATCATTTAACATCTTCAGACCTTCTCGGAACGATAGCCAATATGCTGCCCTTTCTGCTGGCAGTTCCTCGTCCCAGCCAAGTTTATTCTTCCACAGTTGCTGAATAAAGATCTTAGCTGCTGACACCACAGGACCCGCAATTCCTAAGGGGTCAAACAATCTTGCCAAATCAGATGTGACCTTCCGCTTGGTGACCTTGGTGCATTCGTTCACATCACTCTTCAAACAAAATCGGTCTGCTTGAGGAATCCATGTTAATCCCAAAACCTTGGTTGATGATTTGTCAAAATTGAGATCTACTTCTCTATCTTCTGGAGGAATTCCATGCAGCAGTTTTAAGTGGTTAGCACACCATTTTCGTAGTCTAAATCCAGCTTCCAGTAGTAACATATTAACTTGTTTCTGCATCTCAGTTGCCGTTGTTAAACTGTCAGACCCGCACATGCAATCGTCAACGTAAAAATTCTTTTGCAATACCATCGCCCCCAATGGATATCTTTGTATGTTCGTATCTGCTAGCCTTTTCAGACATCTTGTAGCAAGATATGGGGCACACGTCGTACCATATGTTAACGTATTCAACATGTAATGTTCGAGTTCCTTGTCTGGAGTGTTTCTCCATACGATTAGTTGATATTTGCGATCTCTTTTGTCGACTAGCACTTGTCTGTACATCTTTTCAATGTCTGTTGTAAACACAAATCTCGGCAGTCTAAACCGCAACAGCATTCCAAACAGATCTCCTTGAACCCTGGGACCTGAATGCAAAATATCATTGAGTGACCATCCAGATGATGACTTGCAAGACGCATCGAACACAACCCTCAGTTTTGTTGTGCTGCTATTTGGGCGTAGGACACAATGATGCGGGATATAGTAATGATTACCACGCACCTCTCTTGATTGTATTTTCGTCATATGTCCCAGATCCTCATACTCCTTCATAAATTTAGCATACTGCTCGTGAAGACTTGCATCCTTAGATAAGCGACGTTCCAACGCAAAGAATCTTGATGCTGCAATATTCAAGGATTCAGAAATTTTCTCAGGGCCGTCTGCAAACGGTAATCGCACCACAAACCGACCATTCTCATTCACTGTTGTATTTTGGTTGAAGTGATTTTCACACTGTTCCTCTGCTATTGTCAACTTCTGGTCTTCACAAACATCGTCTTGTTCCCAGAACATCTTTAATAAATCTTCTAAAGCATGTTCATCTTCTCCGAAAACGGCGCATGTCACAGTTTCTGATTCAGCCTGAACTCTTCCACTAGCAATCCATCCTAGTTTTGAGTTCTTCAATATAGGAAGCTCTTTGGACATTCGAAGTTCTTGTGAGAGAATCAGGTTGAAGTAGAACTCTGCTCCAAGTAGTACGTCAATCCTGGTCGTTTGATAAAAATAGGGATCTGCTAGTTTTATGTTTTCTGGAATAGGCCATGATGTGATGTCGATCTCAGTGCTTGGTTGGGGTGGCACTATATTTGGTAACACAAAGGCTTCTAGGCGTGTTCTGAATTTGCTGGTGAGTGACTTAAGCTCCACGTTGACCCTGTGGTTTGCGGTTCTTGATCTACCTCCAACACCTTCGATACAGAGAGATGTTTGAATGGGTTCGATACCCAACCTCTGCACTAGTCGCTCTGACACCAGATTAATTTGTGAACCGGAATCCAGAATCGCCTTAAACTCATAGCTTCTTCCATTATTTGCCTTGATCGCAACACGTGCGGTTGCAAGCAGTACGTATGATTGGGATCTATTCGCCGATGCTACTGTTGGCGGCTGTTGAACCGACAAATCTGCTGACTTGTTCTCTACTTGTGGCCTCGTTGAAAAATGCAAAAGTGTATTGTGTTTTTGTTGACACTTCCTGCACTTCCCACTTGTACACGTTTTTGCCTGATGGTCATCCTTGAAGCAATTTAGACACATCTTGTGTCTAGCAACCCATTTCTGTCTTTCGGGCACTGTCATTGCCAAGAACTGTTTGCAGTAATATAGGGGGTGGTCACCTTTGCACATGTGACATCTACGGATCGTGGTGGAAGCAGTCGTTGCTGACGGTTTGCTCTTCTGAATCCCATTGACAGCTTCTAATGATTCGAAACGACTCCTCAAACATTTCATGAAATGATCCATCGTTTGGAGTTCTTTCGAATCTACAATCGACTGCTCATACAACACATGAGTAGTCTTGTCCATCCTCTTTGTTAGGATGTGGATTAAGAGTGGATCCCATTCCTTTGGCCTTACTCCAAGACCCTCCAATGCCAATAACGATTCATGAAGACTATCATGAAAGTCCTTCACTGATCTGCTATCGCCAGACATGTTGGGCAGGTTTAGCATTCTCTCAAGTATAGTTGATACTTGAGCTCTCTTGTTATTGTACCTGTCTTGGAGTGTCTTCCAGGCAATGTCGTAATTCGCCTCGGTCAACTCGAGGTGCCTTATGAGTTTCTCGGCTTCCCCAGTCACGTTGGCCTTGAGATACCACATTTTTTGCACTTGTGGCAAGGCTTGCTCGTTGATCATTTTCCCAAAAATGTCAGCAAACGTCTGCCACTTCGAATAATCCCCATTAAATTGAGGGATTGTAATTTTTGGCAGATTAACTTGATTTGCCAAGTTTCCGCCTGATCTCTGCTGAGACGACGAATGATCGACCTGTGTTAGCGTCGATATTTTTTCTTTGAACTTTAACGTCTCTTCCTCTAAGAGAACGTAGGCTGATGCATCGTACCCCACCAACGTTGGGTCATCAAAGTCCTCGAACATTTTGAAGTGGATATCTTCCACGTGTGTCCACAGTTTTTCAATTGCAGCCACTGTCTGACAGGGAGCAGCTTGGCCTGAATTGCCCCTTATTAACGTTTGTATGGACTGCATTAGAGCCCTCTGACGTCTCACTAATGCAGTCACGCTGCTGGTTGCAGTAAACTGGCCTGATTGTTTTTGCACCCCCTCCCTTGTTGCGGGAAGCGGTTTCTGAGGCATTTGTTCTTTGCCCCTTTTGATGTCTGCCTCGATGTTGTCGATTGCAGCTCTGTACTCTTCACCAATGACTTGGTATTCGTTATTGGTGATATGGAGATGTGACTCTGCCGCAGGATCTGCACGAATTTTGTTTTCATTGCGATCGATCTCTGCCCAGAGTGCTTCCATTTCCTTGAGCTTTTTGCTGTAGAACTCCACCGTTCTTCTTTCCAATGGAGCCTTTTTTACGTTCGCAATTGCCTTCCTCAACTCGGCAATTGCTGCTTGTTGTTGCTCGATTACTGTAGCTAGATCCATACTGTATCCGCCTTACGGTGATTAGCTATCAGTTGATTCAGATTCTTGATGTAGGTACTGGCTTCTTCTCCAGATGTTCCTGGCTCTTAGATGGTGCTACTAGTTGTACGTAACTAGCTCCTTTCACAAATAAATATTTCAAATTCCTTACCACTGGTGGGGGGAAATTCGAAATTTATGAGTGAATCAAGTAATCCTTGTCAGGATCACGTCGGGGTCACCAAAAAATGTTTATTAATATTAATTAAAGCAGATATACACAACACTTGAATTGTGTAACCTTGGTATGTTTACAATTTCTTGTAATCTACCAAGAATATTTATTTTTGCTTTCTATTTATACATTTTTGAATTCATTAAAACTAGCATTTAAAGTTAACTAAGCAATAAATTACTTCAGCCAATAACCCATGCAATGTGAAACCAATCGAGGTGTTTCTTTATTTAGGCTATTGGCCTGCATAAGGCAAACAATAATTATATAGGTCAGTTATATGCTGACATAGAATAAAATAATAATAAAAACAAAATTAAAAAATGTGTTAGTAAAATATGTTCTTTTGAACAATAGCTATATCTGAACCGATTTCGATCAATTTTGGCATACTTATTTTCAGGCCTAATTTGGTTGTATGTGCTAAATTCCATACAATTTGGACTGATATTACACGTTTGGTGCACAATAAAAGGCAAATCGGACGAAGATATATATGGGAGCTATATCTAAATTTTTACTGATTATCTCCAATTTCAAAAGGGTTCTTCCTTGGGCCAAACAAATGATTTGTGCAAAATTTCATCTAGATCGGGCAATAAATGCGAATTGTACTCTGTTTACAAAAATACATGGACAGACTGACGGACGGACATGCATAAATCGACTCAGAATGTGATTCTATGGAGATCCTCAAAAGGAACTATGGGTCTCTATAGAACAGCGACACATGTGTTTTTATCATTCATTTGATACGGCCCAAACTTGTCTCTTCGAAATAACGGTTTTAGACCCTAGGTCTCTTTGGACCAAATCCGTTTCAGAACATTTTGAGTCGATCTAGCGATGTCCGTCTGTCTGTCTGTCTGTCTGTCTGGCTGGCTGGTGCGCACGATAACTCTCGAAGGTAGTATCGGATTTAGTCTAAACTTGATACATCGTAATATTTTTGTCAAACTTAGATTGAGTTTAGAGATGGGCAACATCGGTTCTCTCGTTATGTGCAAACTTTGCACATAAAAATATTTTTCCCAGTACTACGTCCATCAAGTACCTCCCCACAAATGGTCAAAATTTTGAATAATTGTAACTCTAATAAAATTTGAAATAAGAGCCCGATTGTCTTCAAATTTCACAAATTTCAATATTTTTGTTAACAAATGATCGGGTGTGAAGATGGAATATATCGGTATATTCCTTCTAGTACCTCCCCCACAACGGATCAAAATTTTGAATAACCATGAGGCTCGTAA